AAATGGAACTGATTGAGCTGCAATGTAGTGACACGCTGAAGGCGAAATATGAGTCTGTGGGCGCTGCAGAGTTTCCACGTTTCCTTCCCGACACAATGCCCCAGTTGCGCACCCAAGCTGCTCAAACACTCTCTATGTTTGGCAGCACATACCTGTGTGAGCAACTATTCTCCTTGATGAAGATAAACAAAACATCCCACAGGAGCCGTCTGACTGATGAACACCTTCACGCAATCCTGAGGATTTCCTCCTCTCAGAGTCTGACCCCAAACATCGATGAACTTGTATCCACTATGAGACATAAAGTATCTGGCTCAGACTAATGGGCATCACAGAGCAGCAAACTGAGCTTTAACAGATTTTCAGTTTCAGTTTTTATGCAGTTTCAATAATGCACTTTTTTTTTGGACTGGACATTTATGTTTTCTTTAAAGACAATTATTTTTGGACTTTTGTTTGCCTGTTAAAAAATGTTCTCTCAAAATTACTCTGGAAAAGTTTCAGATAAAGCCATAAGAAATGACAGCAACTGATTTTATTTTAGTTTTAATTTAAATTTATTGAATAATGCTAAGCAATAAGCCTTGTTATTTCCAAGTTCAATGTGTGGTCATTTCAGTAAGTTCCCAATAGTTAAGTATCTGGCATCACAGAGCAGCAAACAGAGCTTTAACAGATTTTCAGTTTTTAATCCAGTTTTAATTTAGCATTTTCTTTTTTCTTGGACTGGACATTTGAGTTTAAAAAATATTTTTGGGTTGTTGTTTACCTGGAGAAAAAAAACATTTTCACTTGAATTTTACTTTGGAAAAGTTGCAGATAGAGCAATAAGAAATGAAAGCAACAGAATTTTTTTTGTTTATTCAATTTGTTTAATAAATAATGCTGTTTTTATTAGCAATAATGTATAGGTCTTGTTAGTTTTAGGTTCAGTATGTGCAATAAGGTCATTCAGTAAGTTATCAATAAATATTGAAACAGTCCGGCCCTTGACTTGTCCATTTTTTTAAATTTTGGCCCACTTTGTATTTGAATTTGACACCCCTGGTTTACACTGTGTGCATACCTGCATTTCAGAAGGATATTTTATATCTATTAGTAAACTCTTTCAAACTGCGCCAAATGTAACTATTTAGCTTTTATTTTATATTCTGAGTGGAGTACTTTACTATTATTTTTAAATCATCTGGCTAATTCGAAAGTGACACAAATGTTAAGAGAACCCCAAGTTTTTTACTTTTTGTTTTCTCGTTTCCAGGACCGTTATTTTTAGGCCGCGTAATGGCGGCTTGTTCCTCCACCTGTTATTAAATATATCGATGCACCTGACTTGTGACTGACATCCCCTCTGCTAAAATCTGCAGGTTAATATTAAATTACCTCACACACACCAACAGAGTCGAGCCTTTTAGCTTTACTGACCACTTTCAAATCAAGGACGCCATCCTCAGCTTCTTGTAGCAAGCTGACAAACTTGATCGTGAGGAGCCCCAAACTTTTTTCATGGCGACTCGGGGTCGGAACAGTCGTCTTCGTCTCAAACTCCATCTTCATTCTACAAAAAAAAAAAAAAAAAAATCGCTTCTTTTTGGTTTACTGGCTGCCTCAACTACAAACAAACATTTTTGTTTTGCTTGTTAGCAGACAACGCCTTGTGTTACCTGAACTGGACGACTGCAGTACCTGTGGTCGTACGTTGTTGTCACGGCAACTCTCTCGTCCAGCTCGTGACCTCCTCCCTCCGGCAAAGCCCCGCCCCTCTGTTTGACCACGCCTCTAAATATTAAATCAGGGCTACACAACTAACTAAATAAAATTTAATATGAATTATCAATTAAAATTATACTAAATGATCTGTCATACACATTAAAAGACGCTAACTAATGCTAACTATGCTACAATCCTGATTTTTAACATTTTTACATCTAAACTCTACGATTTTACAAATTAAAATAAAATCTTTGTTACACTATTTAGCTACACTGACAGGTTTACTATGCTGTCAACTGGTCAGTTGTTTCTTTTAATGATTTACTTGACTGTAAGAACTAAATTCTAGTAAATTGAGCTCAAATATTTTCTCTCTGCATTGAAATTAACCTTCATATAACTAAAAAAAACATACTTTATCATGACCTGGAAAAATATAGAAATGACAGGACAAAATTTATTAGACAAATCAGAGTAAAGTCATTGTACAAAAATATATCTACATGAAATTGTATTTACAAATGTTCATGTTTTATATGTTAAAGTCTTTCAACACGTTGGTGAGACGTTTCATTTTCTCCTCCATGATTTTCTTGTTGGCCTCCGTCTCCTGCAGAAGCTGGCGCATTTCCTCCTCCACTTCAAACACCTGAAGAAACAGCGTGGACAAATTTAACTGTTGACAACACAAAGAAAATAAAGATTTTCACCGTCTATAAAATCAAAATCATGGCATGATAAAAGATAAACTCTTATAAAAAATAATTGCTTCTGAAATTCATCATCATGTGGTGGATGAAAAACAGAAGCTAAAATAAAGTCATCCTCTTATTGATGTAGCCAATGAAACATTAACCCAACGGTGAAGAAAACAAAAGCTTCGATTGAAATTTGGTGGTGCTGTCTCTCGTTCGGCACAAAAACACAGTAATAACTTTCAACACTGAACTGTCACACCAGACAGTTAAACAATGTCTGCGTTTACATGCTTCACATGTGAACACAATGACAAACAGCAGCTGCAATCTGGAGGAAGATCATCTATAGTTTACCTTCTGATTCGCCTGTTCTATCTGTTTTTGTTTTTCATTAGCCAGCTGAAGGAGCTCCATTTGATGCACAGCCTGGACGGACTCCAGCTGCTGGCGGAAAGCATCGTCCACACAGCGCAGCTTTTCTACCGCAGCTCTGCAGGAGAGACAACCACAGATTAAACATATATACAGCACCAGTGAAAAAGATGGGATGTTTTGTGCTTTTATTGCTGTCACAAATGGTCAATATGAACTGAACTTCTTTCTAAAATAAAAAAGTTTTTCAATGTCAACATGGGTGATACCGATTAAATAAAAATATTAGGGGGCACCGATAAATTGGCACAGATTTCCTTAATTTTGGGTGATCGGCCAATACTAACATGAAAAGCTGATATTATCTACCTCTGCAAAAGTATGAAAACCAGCCACTGTGCCGTTTTGCTCTGCTGTGTGAGAGAGAGCTGTTGTCAACTTAAAACAAGTTTGTATTGTTTCAAGGGTATTGTTCTTCAATAAAATAAGATTAGAACAGAGAAGGTTTATTGTGACTTTGTAACTCCCTTGAAAGTGGAGTTATTTAACTCAGAGAAAAGATTATTTGGATGGATAAAAAAGGATTTCCAAGGATCTAAACATCCCAGAAACTCAATAAATCTCAACTAGAGCTGGTCTCAGTTGTTAGTTCGTAGGCCTTGTTTACGGTGCAACAATACAGTTTCTGCTTCGATTGCCTAGAATAAGATAAATGCAGATAAATAAATGTCTGCTCCAAACTGAGTTCTAACATTCAACCCTGAAGACAGTCAACATGTGACCCAGGAGAAGCTAAATTAGAATAAAAGTTGCAGACTAAAACATTACCTGTGTGCCTCTGTTGCTTTATTTCTTTCTTCCAGCAACAGGCGCTCCTTGGAATCGAAACTCTCCTTTGTGCGTTTTACTTGGCTCTCGAGTCGAGCGAGCAGCTCTGCCTTCTCCTGCCACTTCTTTTTGGACTCGCTAACAGAACGAGGAAAAAACGTGATTTCAGGAACAAATCAGGGTTACCAGATATTTTCTGTTTTAAGGTTTTATACTTTCCAGACCCAAATGTTCATTTATTTTTGTTGTAAATCAAACATGTAAATTACTAGTGTTTTTTCAGACTCTTGTTTTCTTTTTATCCATTTATATCCAAACCTGATATGTTGAGATGTTGATTATTTTGTATGAAAATTAACTACTATTTTGTTTTAAATGAAAACTTACATTTTAATCAGCAGAAATGACAGCCACAGAAAGTGTTTAATTTAATAATTTACATATCTTTATGCACACAAAAACTCTTTTTCCAAAATGCAACATTTGTAGTTGGACTCTTGCCTGTAAACTCCTCTGATCTCCTCGAGCTCTGCTTCTTTGTCTTCCAGCTGCTGTTTCAGCTCCTCCTTACGCAGACTCAGCTGTGCCAGCTGCTCCTTCAGCTCAGCCTGTTGGTCTGATTCCTCTTCCAGCTGATGCTGGAGCTTCTTCTGGACCTGCGCTGCCTCCTCCCTCGACCTTCGGATCTGATCGTCTCGTTCCTGCAAGGACTGAATGGCAGGTAGGTGGTGGGTGAAAAATCAACTCGAGTTTGCATCTCAAGGTGAAAAGAGAAAGGTAAAAAAATTTAAAACAAAACTGGAACCTATTGAGCTATGTAGCTTTTAAACTGGGTTCAATCTATGGAGTTTTATAAAACACCTCTTTGAGTTTGCGAATGGTCTGCGTCTGGTCTTCCATGATTTTGGTTTTGATTTTAAGGGCATCGTGGTCCCTCTCGTTCTGTTTCCTCTGAGCCTCCAGCTCAGTGGTCAGAACCTCAATCCTGGCCTCCAGACGTCCTCGATCCTGAGCCAATAATGCACCTGACAAAGAAAAAAGCATTAGATAAGAAAATATATCATTTCTTATTTTATTTATTTATTTTTTCTTGAGTAAATCGAGCTCTATGGTTCAACTTTCTATTAGGTGAAATTATTACATACGTCTATTAGAATAAATAATGGCTGTAGGTTAGAAACTCTTTTAGCTGTACCTCATTTATTCATACTTTCCTTCAAAAGAACAAAAGTTAATTGTAACTAGAGAAATTGCATTTCCTGCAAACTGTGAATGCTTCATGCTGAAAACTTAATCTGAAAGCTGCTGAAATTGAGCTGAAAATATTTAATAGCAAAATTGTTAATGTGAGCTCACTTTGAAAAGATTAAAGAAAAAAGCCTAACTTTGCAGAAAACCTGTAAAGATTAGCACAAATCTAGTTGAAAACAACAAAAAAGCTAAAAGCTAAAATAGCTGAATATAGCTGAAAACATCAGTAAGAAGCATAAATAGCACAAACTAGCAGAAAAACACAGAGTAGAAGATATCAGAGGAATAGTAGAAGGAAGCAGAATTTTAACTGAAATAGCAGAAAATAGCTAAAAGTAGCAAAAATTAGCACAAGAAAATGAAAAAGAGCAGAACCAGAACAAAATGTGTAAGGTGCTGTAAAGATTTAGAATCATTTTGAAGGGTTTTAAGGATGATGAAAACAGCTCTATTCATTTTTAATGGGAAAAAAGTGGCAGAAAAAGTGAAATAGCTGAAAAAGTATAAATAGCTGAAATACCAAAGGTCCTAGCAGACTTGTCATGAATGAGCTTTATGTTTTGATATAAGAAATGTTGAAATAACACAAAAACTGTGGAACGAATTAGATGCCAAAAAACATACAGACGAAAAAATGATCTGAATAGTCTGAATGCTTTGAAGTTTTCACACAATTATTATTTTTAATGGTCTCCACCAATAATTCTCCAGACTTTTAGAAAGTCCTTTTTTGGACTTTATCTGCTTTTTCTGCTTATTTTCAGTCTCCAGACCAACAATTTTGTGTGAAAAAAGTAAACAAGGCCAAGTTTTTTACTGTGAATGTCTCCCAATCAACCACTAGATGGCGACAGGCACTGGGTACATTTTAAAAGAAAAAACGTCACTTTATGCTGGCTCTTAAATTTTACAAAGGATTCACAAGCCAGTGCGTTATAGACAAACCCCTAATAAACAATTAATCTGTCTTTGACTGCGATGCTGACGTCTCATAGGTGCTCCTGGCTCTGTCACCTTGCTGAGCGAGCTCTTGGCCCCAGACCTTTCTCTCAGCTCTGAGGCCGTCTATCACCGACTCCTGAGCCGTGAGCTGGGACACGAGCCGCGCCTTGTCTTTCTTCAGCACCTCGAGCTGCAGGCCCAGACGCTGGCTCCGGTCCACCTCTGCTTCCATGGAATGCAGACGGTTCTGGCAGAGGGACAGACACGGGCAGTATTAATGACGAACCTCCATCTGTCAAGGTTGGCAGATGGAGAGGCAGCAGGACCATACAGTATTCATAATGTCAGAAAGTGGTCTCTCTTCGACACGCTCCCAGTGACCAGGTTTTGAAAAAACAAAAAGAGGAGACATCTGTTGCTACTCTGCTAGCAATATTTCAAACCCAATCACACCCTGAGTTCGGCGACAGCGTCTCTCTTAGCTTTGACGAGCTCAGAGATGCGGCTCTTCTGCTCTTTCACCACAGCTGTGAGCTCCTGCACCAGAGAGGCCGAGCTCTTCTGGCTCTGCTGGGACTGAGCCAGGGTCGCCTTGAGCTCCATCAGCTCCGCCGTCATGTGATCACAAACCTCCTTCACCTGCAGACAAAGATATCAAAGTGTCAACAAGAAACCCAAGTAAAACAATGAGAAGAACTTAGTAGTTTCTTCTCAACTTTTGTTAAAAACATACATATATTTATGAGGTCAGCAGTTTTTTTCTTATTCAAGCTTTTCTTCCATTCTTTTCAAGGTGAAAAGTTCAGGTGACGTCAAGAACAAAATATTGCAAGAGGTGGCAATCAATGAAAGAATACTTTTTGTGCAGAAGCTGAATGAAAGTGAGAAGTGATTCAAATCCATTCTTTCAGTAAAGCCTCCCTCCTGCGGCAATCAAAGGCTGCTTGTCCTGAGTTCAATGATCGTTACGGAGTCTCAGCTTTTACCACGAGGCTGAAATCAAAACCGCCACATTTTACAGGATGAAGGTCAGCTCCAGTTCAATCAATTTACCGTTTAACGAACTGAGTAATTATTTAACAGCTGATGTGAGACAGACTGTAGCCTAAACAAGAAAATCTGCTGCTTGTTAGCTGCACGTTGGATCAGTCCAATAATTATTCACGCCCACATTATGTCCTCCTACACCTCAGTGTTGTTCAGGCTAATCCAAATATTAGTTATCCTCCTGTTCAAATTAAAGAGTTTTACTCTCTCCTGTCCCTCAAGTCTTCTTGACTGCAGCTTTCCCACTCTGCACACTCTGACTTTGACTGAACCGTCTTTTGTGCTTGGGATAGTTTCTAACTGCAGAAAATGAAAATCAGACCAAAGTAAAAATCAGATCAAAGTCTTTAAATGTTGAAAAAAAGAGGTTTAAAGCATCCTGCTTTAGCAAAGGAAACACGCTGACTCACATTTTTAAAACAAAAGGAGATCAGTTTGTTAAACAAGTCTGTCTTTCTTTCTTTCTGTTCAAAAAATGTATTTAGTTGTGTTCAATTATTCATGCTAATAATATTATAATTAGAATTAAGGACAGTTTTTTAAAAATTACTTTGTGGATTTTTCTTTACTTTTAAAAGTTTTGTATTTTACTCATATGATGCACACGTTTATTCTAATCTTCTTAAAAATAACTATTTCAACATAACACTAAAGAATTTGCATTTCCTGCAAAAATGCAGTGTGAATGCATAGTGCTGAAAGATTTTCACTGAAAGCTGCTGAAATCAAGCTGAAAAGGTTTAATAGCAAAACTGTTAATATGAGTTAAATCTGAACAGATAAGCTTTGCTGAAAGTAGGACATCAAAAAGAGAAAAAACTGTAAAATATAGCCAAAAGAAAAGAGAATAGAAATGAGGAATAAGTAAAAAAAAAAATCCTAAATTAGCAAAAAGAAAACAAA